CCTACGGGTCCAGAATTTTAATTACTACCTCATAACTATGTTAAAGTGCCCATTCTTAGGGGTAATCTCGACATAGGGGCCACAAATAAAAATTCTGAATCCGTAGATCGATTAGAATTCAAATTCTAAGTAATATCCTCCTACAAACCATGCTCATACGTGTTGTGGTTGGAAAGCTATAGTCCAATCTCTCCAGAGTGCCAAATTTGGCAGGGAAAACAAGCTGATTTCGCATTTTTGGAGCAATAAATAAAATTTCTACATGGAAAACTCTCTCAGTGGATTCAATCACATCATTCCCTCAAACCCAGTGCAAAAAATATATTGAATTGGTGTTGTGGAAGGTACAAAGTCCATGTCTCAAGAAATTGGCCCTGTGACGCTATGTCACGGCATGTCACTGGTCATCACACTTACCAAGGATTGTGCAACACCATATTAGTAGAAGCATCAGGTGATCTGGAAATCATATTTCTTCCACCTCTTCCACCTCCGCCTCGCTGTCCTCCCCGCCATGGCTGCCCAGGCGCCCAACTCTCAGCTCGCCAACAAACACATCTGTACGCGCAACCTTTATCCATCCGTCTTTGTCACTAACGTTCACCTTCATGATATGAACAGGCACAGATGGATGCTCGATTACCTCTACACGGCCGGATTCACAAAAACTTACGACCAGTTACAAGAGGAAGCTTCCTATTTGGTGTTTATACCCTCCATCTTCGCCTTACCTACTCCGCCAAGGTCGGCCCAGTAGTGGGTTGTTGGTCAAGAAATGGACGAGCGTGATCAGGATGGAAAAAAGGTGTGTTCCACCTCCGTTACTTTGCCTCCCTCATGAAATGAACGACGCCTCCATTCGTAGATTATGGATCTGTAATCACGCCTCGCCCAAGCCGTCGAAGAATCATCGCATGCCTCGACCTCCGATGGCTCGAAACGCGCAAATAAGGACGTTGTAGCGTCGGCTTCTGTAGACGCGATGGTGAAGATCTGGGACTGGGATTCGGGGGAATTGTAGAGGACGTTGAAGAGCCATACGAAGTCTGTTTCGGATTGTCAGTTTGATTCGACGGGGAAAGTTTTGGGTGAGTGTCTTGTATAGTGCTGCAGAGTGGTTATGTGGGCTAACGGATTGGTATAGCGACGTGTTCAGACGATCTGTTTATAAAGCTCTGGAACGTCCCTGATGACTACAAGAACTTCGCTACCCTCAGAGGACACGAACATTCCATCTCGAGTGTTTCTTTCTTACCAGGAGACAATCAGGTCGTTTCGTCAAGCCGGGATCATACAGTTAGGATGTGGGATGTCCAAACAAGGTGTGTTATCCCCCACTGCCTTTTTACCTAACTAACCTCCTCATCGAAGTCATTGTGTAAAAGTCATACGACTACATGAAGAATGGATCCGGTCTGCCATTCCCAGTCCTGACGGTCGGCTTCTCTTAACATGCTCAGACGACCGCGTACGCGTTTCGCTCCCAGTCCATAAACGTTCTTCATTCCTTACCTTATCTTCCTTCCAGACGGCGCGAATCACAGACCTAGAGTCATCCGCACTAAAGACGGAAATGCGAGGTCGCGACAATCGTATAGAATGCGCGGTGTTCGTACCTCCAGTATCTATTCCATCTGTCCGGGAACTGGTAGCTGTGGTGAATACCGTTCTCCCCCCCTCTACATACCCTGTTCAAGTTACTGAGTCGAGCATAAACGTGTCTAGCCTTCGACCGTCCAGTCCGCGAAAGTCGACTCCCTGGGGATCTCATTCGTCATAACGGGGTCTCGTGACAAGACGATCAGGCTCTGGGACGCGTTGAGGGGTCAATGTTTATGGACTTTCGTCAGTTCTCTTTCTACAGCGTGCCTCTTATCTTTCCTAACACCCCGAACTCCAGGTCGGCCACGACGGCTGGGTTCAAGTAGTGACCTTCCACCCATGTGGGAAATATCTTCTCTCAGTAGCGGACGACATACCCTGCGGATTTGGGATTTGAAGACTGGCCGATGTTTACGAAAAGGTTTTTCTTCGCCTCCATTTCCCCTTTGTTCTTGACTCAACGTGTTTCTTCTTTTTCCCTCTACCTCTCGATAGTCGAAGCACACAGCCCCTTCGTACAATGGGGACCTGCACCCCTGACGGACGCAAAGAACGACGAGCCAGAAAGGATCGTCAATGTTTTGGCTACGGGTGGAACGGATAAGGTACCGTTGTTGTGGCTCTACCTCCATCTAACGACGAACCTCAATATTCTCAATTTCAGTTGGTTAAGATCTGGAAACCCTGATTTCCGTCGTCCGTCTGCTTATTGAGGATGTGGGACGTTAGTGATCTTACTTCCCGAAAGCAACACTTGGCTCCCGGATTGCTTGACTTGACGGCCCACTACCGCCCGTCTTACAATTCCCTTCTCATCATCCTGAATCACACCCACACTTTCACTGTCACTATCGCATTCAATTTTAATATTCTTCGTTCTTTTTCTTTCTTTATGTTCTTTCTTTTCCATTTGTTACACTACGATCACCCATAATTTATTCAACACTCAGACTTTCAAGGTGGCCTCTGTTCTGTCATCATCATCATCATTTATCGTTATTGTTTTCGAGACTAGCTCAGCTCGATTAGTGCCTACTACTTTATTGGGCACTTCCAGGCGTCTGTTCTTGTACGAGCTCGAGCCTCCTGCCGGCCTAAAGGAAAGAAGGAAGATCCCCCTGCGTTTCACATCTGCAGTTCTACTGATACCTCGGCCGGCGCGCCCCTGGGACTCGTTCGTTACCACCCCAGGTATGTATGTGTTACTCGTCTTGAATGTGCTGTGTAGACTGATAGAGTGTTGGTCTTCTAGGCCTGCGGGACGAGCAGGACCAATCGAATGAATGTCTGATTACATGCATGTGTTGACAAAGAGTAGATAGAGCTTCCTCTTTGCGTGGATACAAAGGCATCTTTTTGGTGTGCGAGTGAATGCATTACGCAGAGGATGTACATATCGTGGCTAGATGTCGACGCATTTGTTAACTCCAAAGGTGCAAGTTCTAATGAATACGTGGTTCTCGACGACTTTTGACATAGTGTTACATGTTTACATACGATGGGAAGGTGTCAGACCGTAGACGTACGTATGGTACAAGATAAATGGTATCATTGGCGGCGTGCAAATGGCGACATCGCAAGAAACGATCGAAAAGCATAGCGAAACAGCCCAAAAGAAGCCCTACAGTATCATCCAAGCCAATAATCTAACTTTGCGCGATCCTCATCCGTCATCCTCATAACGGTATTCTCGATCTCCCCTGAAATTCATCGGTTCAACGCTAGGCCACAATGCACTGCGCAGAGTGAAGCTTGATAGTGATGAAGAGGGAGTATCGGCTTGATTGCTGGGAAGGGAGTCCACCTTCGCGGATTGGACGGTGGAAGGCTGGACACGTCTATGCTCGACTCAGAAAGTCCACGGGTAGGGAGGGGGAAATAAATAAATTCACCACAGCCATCAGTTTCCAGACAGATGTGATAGATGCTGGAGGTACGAATTCCTGTGGTCGTATGCCTTGTTTGGACATCCCACATCCTGACTGTATGATCCCGACTGGAGGAAACGACTCCCTGATTGTCCCCTGGTAAGAAGGAAACACCCGAGACAGAGTGTTCGTCCCTCCAAGGCTAGTGAACTTCTTGTAGTCATCAGGGACGTTCCACAGCTTCATAAAGAGATCGTCCGAACACGTCGCTATATGCATTCCCTTAGCCCATATGACCACTCGGCAGTACTACAAAAACACTCACCCAAATGTCGAATCGAACTGACAATCCGGGACCGCCTTCGTATGGCCGTTCAACGTCCTCTCCAATTCCTCAGATCTTCACCGTCGCGTCTACAGAAGCCGATGCTATAACAGAGTGCAGAGGGTGAAAACTAACAGAGTTGATTTTGTCTCTGTGCCCGATGAGAATGTATTTGGCGGGCAGCCATCCCTTATTTGCGCGTTTCGAGCCATCGGAGGTGGAGGCGTGCGACAATTCGTCGAGGACTTGGGAGGCGTGATTCCAGATCCATAATCTACGAACCGTGGCGTCGTTCAGTAATGAAGGAGGCAAAGTGAGGAGGACCGAACACACTTTTTTTTGCATCCTGATCACGCTCGAAGTTAGCGACAAAGACGGATGGATGTAGGTTACGCGTACAGATCTGTTTGTCGGCGAGCTGAGAGTTAGGCAGCCATGGCGGGGAGGTTGGGGAGGACAGCGAGGCGGAGGTGGAAGAGGTGGAAGCTCATATTTACAGATCACCTGATCCACAATGCATTTGGATACGGTACCTCATTTTTGCCGCTCGCTCTCATCTCCTCTTTCAACGTTCAACGTCCAATCCTCCTCCACTGCAACAATCGAGCGAATGGAGAAAGTTGGAAATCGTGGGAGGCGCACCAAACCTAAGGACTCGGCTGGTCCGTCGAAAAATATGAATTTGGGTTCCATCGACTCTGCTCTTGCTCCTGGACTGGAAGGAAACGACGCAAGAAGTGCAAAGGGGCAGAAAACCCACGCTTCACTCGATACAAGCAGAACGAATACCGCTGGTATGCTAGTCGGTACGCCCAACACAAATCAAACCTATTCGCACCTGATTCAAAGATTTCGGCACTGCAGATGGACCTACGGGCTTTCGCCCTCCACTAGACAGTAATCCCGCCTTGTGTGAAGGTGCGTACCATATTATCTCAGCTTCGTGGATCGTGCAAGTCTGATCCGCTTCCAAGATCTTGTTACCTCTTCCAACAGTGCCACACCCAAGATTTCAGGCCCTTCAGGCTCCGGCGTCTTATCAGCGCCTGTACACCACGCAGGGATAGGTGAGAAGAATCGTTATATGTTCATCAGTCAAAATTTGAATATCCTTGAAGAAGGTGAACGGTACTGTTCTCAACATGCTCGCCCATTGGGTGGCGTGGGCCCCATGGCCATTACAGGTTAGAAAGCCGTCATCACCATATATAAACAAAGCTGGTCATTGAACTCTTTCTAAAGGTAACGGCCGCGAACCGGGAGAAAACAACTTTTTTCCAAATGCTCATGACTTTGCCATCAGCGGCGGCACGTTCAACCTTGTGAGTGGAACAGTTAGAAACTCACCCAGCAAGCTGATGGCGCTGGACCTTTTGCAGATCAATAATCACGAGGACGAGGCTACGAAGACTTTACAGGTCGATGCTATTGTCCTCTCGGATCACAAACTTGCTTAACCATCTCATCTAGCTTGACCTCGCATGGAGCACCGAGAGAAAGGTGGATAACATACTCGCCGAGGATTCAGGGTAAACATCAAATTCTTCAAATAGGACGAGCACTAAATCATTCTACAGCTCACGAAACTTGACCCTCTTCTCGCTCGTAAGGCTATCTACGACGCTGACTTGGGGGCCGGGGCGACAGTGACCCGTGAACCATGCACCGCAGGCACTCGGGAGCAGATTCTAAAGGACATAATTGCATGGGCTGACGACATCTC